CCACCCATCCATCCAGGACCCATCACCCACCCATCCATCCATCCACCCACCTACCACCCATCCATTCAGGACCCTCCACCCATCCATCCACCACCCATCCACCCACCCATCCATCCACCAGCCATCCACCAGCCATCCATCCACCCATCCACCCATCCACCCATCCATCCACCCATCCACTCACCCACCCACTCACTCAACACCCTTCCACTCATCAACTCAATAACTGCTGAGCATTTCCAACTCCAAATGTAAAAGCCCAGCTGGACCCTAACACACTCCCCACCCCACTCCACAGCCTCCTCCCACACACCCAGGGCTGTGACACGCTGCTGGTATCTGGTGGGGGAAGGGACCCCCTGCTGCTCAGATGGCCTGGAGATGCAGTACCAACCTCGCACCTTGGATGTTTTGTTCACCAGGCCCATGGCCAGGTTTTGCTCTTCCCACAGCGCCTCTAACTAAAGAGTGGCAGCTTGCAAAGTCAGAAATAGACGCAAGGTTATGCACAGACTGAGGCATCTAACAGCTACTCAACCCCAGGGATCCATGACATTGGCGAACACTGGACTTAGGGCCTTGGGGCTGGTGAGCATCCAGACCCCGCTATGCACAGGAAGGAGGGGGACAGTGATGCGCCAAGGCCTGACCAGGGTGCTCGTCCAGGAGGTCTCTACCCTCTCATCTGCACCTGGGCTGGCTCCGGGTGCTCATTTCCAAACCCGCACGTCTCCCCGGGTCAGAGCTTGGCTGGCAACTGCCCATCCGGGCGGAGCCGGGGCCAGGACACTGAGGCACTAGTGACAGAGCCATGCCCAGACATGGGTTACCGTAGGGGACAGCGGACGGCTGCTTCTGATCACTAAGGACATGCAGAAGGTTTCAAAGTTCTGCCTGCCCTTCCAAAAACCACCGGAACGTGATTCCTCTCCTCTCCAAAAGGACAAGTATTTAAAAAGAGAAAATGTGCCCACCAGCCCATTCGTGCACCATCTGGGTGAGGTCACGGCCGCTGCCAAGGCCCCAGGCAGACACTGAGTGGGAGTCTGCTTCTAGCCAGCCCTCTCTCTGCACAGGGTGAGGACATTCTGGGGGAGAGGGCGCTTCCCACACGCCCACCCTTCTGTTAACAGGGCCAGGATAGCGCCCCAGAGACCTGGAAGGCAGTGGGAAGGTGGAAACTCCAGTGTGAGGCGGGCAGGGCTTTTCTGTGGCTACATAGGTCTCCAGGACAGGCAACCGGTTATTGTTTAAGGAAGAACCACGAATAATAAAATTCGAGATTTGAAGAAAAAAAAATGTTTGCAGTGACCCCCATCGCCTTCAGGAGCGGTTTCACTTAAACCCAAACATGACGGCATGAGAGAAAGGCTTTGGCTCGGTTACACTCCAGCACGAGCAGATAGCCCACAGGTCTCTGACGTGAAGCTGAGGCGAGAGAGGGTCCCCAGAGTTCTGGGTGCGGACAAGCCGGGGACAGCCGCTGCAGGCCACCAGCCCGCTGCCCGCCACTGGGGTGGAGCTGGCCCCATTTCTGAAAGATCCCCTCACTGCCAAGCCTCCCTCGAACTTGGCCAAACGAACACAAAGGCCACGAATAAAGATGTGAAGCCACGGCGACCGCACCTGTGTGTCACAGAAGCCACCCAGGGGCAGAGAACGGATGAGACTGTGCCAGGGGCGGGAGAGTCACAGCATGTGCTTAAATTACCTTTGGCCCTTGTCTTCCTGGGTACCCAGGTAACCCCGGGACTCCGAGTTTGCCCTGGGAAGAGGAAAAGCACCGCGTCACACAGAGTGCAGCAGGAAAACAGCGAGCCCAGAGGGACGCAGGGGCTGCGGGACAGGTCCCCCGGTGAGACGGCCTCACTGAGCCTTCTCTGACGACGCGCAAAGGCCCGGGAGAAGGGATCAGGCCACAGTCGAAGCAGAGCGGTTACAGGTAAACGCCTAACAGGTACCGCTTCTTAAGCCTCTTGTTAGCGCTCAGGCCACAGGGAACCTTCGGAGCAGGGAACCTACTCCACTCCTCCCAGTTAGAGAGGGGAAGGGGCTGGGCCGGGCCGGTTCTGTGGGCACAGTGCATTCTGCTGCAGTAGGCAGACAGATTGGAGAAGGCGCCCTCTGCAGGGCCTCCCTCGCAGGGACAACGCCGTCGGGCCAGGAGGGGACACAGGTGCCCATGTGAGGCTCGTGCCCTGGGAACATGGGGAAAGCCCTCCTTGGCTCAGCACAGAGCTCAGGAGGCCAGACTCAGAACAACAGGATCCGCCCAGCGGTGCTCAGGGGCCAGGGGAAGAGAACGGAAAGGACAAAGGATGCAAGCCCACGTCCAGGGCCGGCTCCACCAGCAGGCAGGAGCCCAAGGCCTCAGGAGGGGCCTGCTCAAGGTCCTGGGTGTTGTTGGACATCTTGTGTCACCAACCTTCTCCCCGGGGGGCCCCAGGGGACCTGGGTCACCATTGGGACCACCTCGGCCCTTTGGGCCTTCAGGGCCATCTTCTCCCCTGGGACCAGGTGGGCCGATCTCCCCCTGAAAAGAGAGAAGAGCAGCGAGGGAGACGCCCTCAGTCTCCACCCGCCACTGACAGACACTGCCTGTAACCCACATCCGGGCGGAGCTCTGTCACTGCTGTCTGGGGGTGACAGGTTCTTGCAGAGAGGCCATGGGCCCTTGGGTCTCACTGAGCCGGGAGGCTGCACCGGGGTCTCGAATGGGAGCCCCCAGGGCACAGGGCGCTACTGGGCGCCACACTGTCCCAGGCTGCCAGCCCTTCCTCCCGGTTACCTTGTCTAGTTCAGGGCCCCGTGGCTGAAATAAACCTGCTCAGCAGACTCAGCCCTGAGTCGCTCCCTCCCCCAACACACAGGACGGATGGAGGGCTCGGGGGAGACCACAGCCCAGCCTGGGCAGTTCCCTGGGCACCACTGTCACCAGGGAGCCCCGGGGACGCATGCCAGTGATGGAGGATTAAATGCTGCCTCGTCCAATGCTCCCCACGTTGCAGGTGGGGAGTCCTGGGCCTGAACAGAAGGGTCCCCTAGGGCTGCTGAGTCGGAAGGTGCACCAGGCTCTGCACCCAGGGAACAGGAAGCAGCGGCAGCACCTGCACCCAGGGCCGGGGACCCTTCCTGCTCCACTGCGTCCTGGTCCAGGGCACAAGGACCAAAGCGTCCTTCCGGTGACCTCTGTGGGCCGGCTCTGGTCACACGGACCCCAAAGGTGTGTACCAAGCCATCGGAGAGGAAGGGTGACAAGGACATTCGCCATGGAGCCGTCAGGGCCCAGGGAGGGAAGGAGGTCCAGTGCGGCTGCCTCTAGCTGCGGTGCAGCAGCAGGGACAGTGCCACGAGGCAAAGCCCTGCCAGTCTCCTGCTTCTGAGGGACTGCAGAACACAGCACTCTGGCTGTTTTCCTGTCAGCCTGGGACAGAGCACCAGGGGTCCCAGCCCCCTATTCGGGATGCTCTGGAAAGAGGCCTCCCAGCCCCACTTTGCATGTGGCCCTGCGCTGGCTGGCAGATGTCTGTCCAGGTGCACTCACAGCTGCCAGCTGGCTGTGATGCCCCAGAAGGAGGCAGCACCTGCCTCTGCCCGGCTCCTTTGCAGCCTGGCCCGGTGGGGAAACTTCGTCACCTTTCCTCCTGTTCACGTGACAGCGCAGCCATGGCTTCCACCCACACAGGCACCAAGATTCACTGCCCAGCAGGAGAGGGCCAGATGCAGGCTTCTCCCGAGAGGCCAGCCTCGGGGTCTCAAGAGTGAATGAAGTACTGTGGGGGGACCGGGGCAGGGCAAGGGCTTGGGGAGACCTGGATCTCAGCAGGGTGTGGCCCAGGCAGGTGCCCTGGGACCTGCTAGGGAGGAGGCGGCCCTGGCTTTCTCAGGGACTTAAACTCCCAGCACCGCTCCTGGTCATGAGGGTCTTAGCCAGAAAACCGTGAGTCCCTGCTGACCAGGGACACAGGACGGTGACCAGAGTGGACCCCAAGCCCCAGCCAGCCCTGCCCCGTGAGCAGGGTCTCTGCAGAGGCAGGACCTCCCTTCCGAGAAGCAGTTCTGTCCCTCCAAACATCCCCAGCCCTGCCTGGGGACCTCCCTGTCTGTCCCCAGCCTGCATCCTGAAATACTCACCCGATCACCCTTGATGCCCATGTCGCCTTTAAATCCAGGGAAGCCATCTTCACCCTGTATGGGGACAAGAGGACACAGAAGGTCTACAGAAAGCAGCCACACGGCTCCCACGGCAGACCTGCACTCGGCACCGAACCAAGACAGCAGATCAGCACCGCCTGCCTCCTACAAAATGCAGTCTCATTAACTGGCCCAGCTCAGGGTCCACTAAGGACAACTGCGGCCTCGAGCATGGTGTGGGGCCCACTGCAGCGGGAAGGAACAGCTCACCTTCTCGCCTTTGGTGCCCTTCAGGCCTCGGATGCCATCTGCCCCCTGTGCAGGCAGAGAAGAGACAGCAGTCACTGAGAGGAGCCTGGCTGGGCCTCGGAGCAGAGGGCGCCAGCCCGACAGGCAGAGCAGAGCTCTGTGCAGATCCAGGCCAGCCTCTCCCCTGGGACGGGCTCCCTGCCGCCCCAGATCGATCCCCCATGTCAGTAAGAACAGGACTCCTGTCCCCGGGCCCAGGAGACCAGCCTACTCCTCTCAGAAGAGGCCAGCTCATACCTAGCCCTGGCCCTGAGCTCCAACTTCGCCCTTCTGAGGCCAACACAGCCTCTCACACAAACATCTCGGGCTCTGGGGATGGACCAGGACACAAGCCCGGCTTGCCCAGGAGGCTCAGATCCTGGCCCCTGGTCTGGGGCCACTGGTGGGCCATGTCCTTATCTGGAGCAGGCCAGTGAAGCCCTGATCCCATTTCTCTGCGAAGCCCTCGGGACAGTGCCTAGCATGTGCCAGGGGCTGATGCACAGGGCCGTGCGGCGGATTACTGTACCGCGTCATCGTCAACACCGCCCGGCAGCTGTCACGACTCCAATCAGGGACATGAGAGGCACCATGGCTGTGACCGACACAGAACGCCCACCTCTGCTCCCTGGTAAGCGTGACGTTAAGGGCAGGGCCACACGTGCTCCCTGACCCCTTGCCGGGCCCAGCCCCTTAGTCAGCACAGGTGACAGCCTGGAACCCAGCGACACAGCCACAGCCTCACTGACAATGCTCTGGATCTCAGACCTCGGAACAGGCTGACAACCTCGGGCCACCTGCCCACAGGACCCAGAGAGGGCTCACGCCTCCCTCTTCACCTCCAGGATGAGGCTGCGGCCTGACCACAGTGGCCTCCTCAGAGGACCCAGGGACCGCCAGCTGCCCTCTGGTGGTCAGAACACATCACAGCCAGGGGTGCGGTTTTGAGCTGTTTCCCCGGGACTGGGACTGGAGCGAAAGAGGGTGGAAGAGACGGAGATACAGGGGCCGCACAGCCTGGGCTGTGGTGTGGCCTACAAGGCCCACCCTCTGTCTGGAGGGAAGCCACTGTCCTGACTGTGAGGGCTTGGAGTCCTGGGAGGCAGGAGCAGGCTTAGCCAGGTACAGCCGGGGCCCGGAGAGGACCGGTCCGACTCTGTCAAACAGATGCCCTCTGAAGGGCAAGACAGGAGAGCCCAGGGGAAGGTGAGTGGTCGGTGACACAGAAGGACATGGTGTCTGTGTCCCCAGGGTGGCACTGTGAGGCGGTCTGGTGCTGGGGTGCAGCCGGGTGCACTGCTCCAATTCCAGCACCAGAAGAAAAAGAAGTAGGGCCTCGCGCAGAGGGGACTAGGGCATGAGAGGGGAACCGTGTGAACGGTATAGTGCCCTCAAGAAAGGCCCAAGGGGGCCGTATCCCTCCTGCCACATGAGGACACAGTGCAAGACACCATCTAGGAGGTAACAGCACCCCTCGCCAGGCGGAGAACCTGCCAGTCCCTTCAGTTTGGGCTTCGAGCCTCTGGGAATGTCGTGGGAGACACATTTCTTTGGCTTCTCAGTCCCATAGCTTGTGGGATTTGGGTTAGAGCAGCCTGCTGTGATTTCTATCTAGATGTCTGTACTCAGGAGCCTCATGTGCTCATACAAGGGGCTTTTAGAAGGTGACTGGACCACGGGCTCATAGCTGACTTGCTCTTAGGGTCACCGGGGGAGTACCCGGAAGAATTTATCCCTTTCCAGCTCCTCCTCTGACCCTCTCTGCTTCCTGTCCACCATGACCTGAGCAGCTTTTCCTCTGCCTGGCCCCTCTGCCATGCTGTCCTGCCCTGGAGCCAGCAGACTGACAAGGTGAGCCAGAACAAACCTCTCCTCCTCCAATTTGTGGACATCCGGTCTTGGGTCCCAGCAGTGAGGAAGAAACTGAGACAGCCTGACAGACTTGGATGGACACTGGCTCAGCCAGGCAGGCCCAGCCTCAGCGGGCACTAACTGCCCCCCTCTGCCCCCAGGACTATGGCTCCAGCAGCGACAGCTGAGCCATCACTCCCCCCCTCCTGCAGCTCTGCCGCCTGCACCCAGTCCAGAGGGGTGTGAGGCTCTGCTCTGCTTCCCCAGTGAGAGCTGCTTCTAGCCTTGGTTTTCGTCCCACTGTCTGCTTCCAAGTCTGACTGTATTGCTCACATCACGAGTGAATTTTAATCAGATAGATAAGAGCATCCTCCAGAAACATTTTAAGGCAAACACCTTTCAGCTCACAGAAGCAGCCTTATGCAATTAGCCATGTCCGGAACTGCCAAGGGCTGTGCTATGCAGCAGGAATTTGTGAGATAAACATGCATCTTCGGCTCAAGCATAATCAGCTCTGCTGCTAAATCACCACCCTTACAGAACCCATCAGGCATTTTGCTGATAAAAGCACAGCATGGGGGAGCCCGACCCGCCCAAGGCTCTGAGTCCCTAAATGCCTGACTGCTCTCTAACTTGGATTGTCCTGACTCCTGGGACCTGGAAGTTAGGGACGCTGGGGGACAGAGAAGGGACGCCTGGCCAGGAATCAGCAAGTCAAGAGCCAAGCCCTGCCTGGGCATGGAGTTTAGCGAAACTGAGGATCGGGCAGGGCTGGCCAAACTTAAAACTCCACCAAGTGCGGTAGCCTGGTCCTGAGCTCGCACCGTCCCCAGGCCACACCTGTGTGTGCTTCCCGGCTTCCACTGAACATCATCCTGAAGGAGAGAACCAGCCCCAGCTCTCCTGAGATCCGAGACGCTACCACATCTCCACTCTCAGAGGAGGAGGAGACCTCGCCTTCCACATCCCTGTGTGTGGCTGAGCCGTGTAACTCCAGATTAAGTCATGCAGCTCGGAGTAACGCGGTCAGCTCTGATGAGACTAGGGGAGTGCTATGGATATTGCTCGGCAGCTCTGGGCCCCATTTAACAAGATTCTGGGCACCTCCAGCAGCAGGAACACGGTGGCAAACCAGCAGGCGCCTCCCACGACTCCCCAGAAGCTCTGGCTGCCTGAGTAGCATCCAAGGGTCAGACAGTTCTCACTCTGCGAGGTACAGCCACAGTCCAAATTCCTGGAGCCCAAAGCCCCTGCCTCAGCTGAGACCGTGGCTGCCAGAGGCTTCACACAGAGGCCCGGCTTGATGATGGGGGACAGCGAGACGTGTGGGGCAGTAAGAGACTCCCCGTCTGACCGATAGCCGGTGCCCGCCACCTGCTTCCTCAAGTGGCTAGAGACTGCCCTGCTCCAAACCAGCCCTTTCTGGTTCCACAGGGACCCAGCCCAGTGTCCCCACCTCTGACTGCAAGGACTGGGCTGCTTTGGTGGCTGGAGGGATTGGCAACCCGAGGAATCCCCGGGCCGGCCGATTTGTGCCCCGTGCCTTCCCACAAAGACCCAGAACTACCCATCCCACTCACCTTGACTCCTCGAGGGCCAGGGTATCCTAAGGGGCCCTGGGGGCCTGGTGGACCCTAAAACCAGAGAGACACAGCTAGCTTAGAGCAAAGAGGGTGCCTGGGAAGCTGCCATCAACTCCAGGTCCCCCAGCACAGGACACGGTGATGCCCCCCCCCACAGTCTGCCAATGACAGTGGCACCCGAGTGCACCTCCTAGTGGCAAGGACACCCAGGGTCAACAGAACAGCCCGGTCACACTGCAGTGACCCGAATACAAGGGCAATCAGGCTGGATGGAAGAAAAGTCCAGGTAGCACCATGGAAGGACAGAGCTGCCATCTCAGAGAGGTGTCCCCAGCCAAGCGCCTTGGGCCAATATGGCAGAACTTCCGGTCAGCAGAGGGCACAGGGCCACTGCACAGTGTTCTTGGGAGTCACCAGCCTGCCACCACCTCCTGGCCCAGAAGACCTGTGTGGTCACTGAGTGCCGAGGAGCTGGGTATGGTGAGGACCCACCTGGCCTCCTTTCTCTCCTGGGGGGCCTTCCTTGCCAGGGTGCCCCTGTCGGAGAAGAGAAAGCTGGTCAGTCACCACCTCTGGGCACAGCCCACCGGCTTCCCCTTCAGCACCCACCACCATCTCACAAAGGTGCCGGAGAGGGTCACAGCCCCTGCTCCTCCCTGCCCCAGAAGAGAGACTTCAAGGTTGGCTGGACAGGTGGCCCAGCACAGCTTGGTCACTCTCAGTCCCTTGGCAGTGGCACCCTGGCCCTGACCACAGCCAGCATGGACCACGGAGGGGCACCTGTGTCCCACCCTGGAATGGCCACAATCAGTGGCCCCCGACTCAGTGCCCAGCCGCCTTTCAGGGCAGATCCTACCAAACACAGATGTGGGGACAGGGAAGAGGAGGGCAGCTCACACGGCAACAGGAGCACATGGGACAAGGGGCTGGGACCCGGCTCAGGGCACCACAGCCTCCCGCACCAGCAGGGTCCCTGCCACCTGATGGTGAGGAAATCACGGGCTGTGCCATCATCCGGGTCCCAGTGCACCCAGGTCTTCACACCTGGGGGCTTCCAGGCCTTGAGTGTTCACGACACCTGGGGCTCTGGATGGACTCGAATCATCAGTCTGCTCTCTTGTTACTGTTTTTCCAGGCACTGCAGACTGAACCCAGGGCCTTCACACCGAGCTGGGTCCCCAGCCCTCTGGTTTTTCACTTTGACACCAAGTCTTGCTAAGTTGTCCGGGCTATCCCAGGGCCAGGGTCCTCACTTGCTCCTGGCTGGCAGCTTCCTGGGATTCTCTAGTGAATGTGACTCTCGCGATGGGAAGATAATAAAGTCTAAATTATTTGTACATGGTATTTTTCTGAATAAAAAATCATATATGTTCATTGCTGATGAGGCAAGGGAAGGGAAATTAAAGCCCTCCGACCTCACCCCACAGCAGCTGTGGCTAACTGGGATGGGCAGTGTCCAATGTGGTTTCTCTGGATACCCTCGCACAGCACAGCAGACGGCTGTGTGTGACACCTGCCGGGGCCAAGGACACGAGGAACACGCCAGCCTGTGGTCCCCGGTGCTGCCACACAGATGCCTGTCATCGCTTTATTTACTTCTCTAATTATCCACGAGAAAACGTGTCTGCAGCAGTGGAAAACACAGCTCAGTGCAAACATAAGTTAAAAGACACAAGTGTCACGGCGGAAAGAGGAAGCACTCGGCCCCCAAATCCCATGGGCCGGGGCCACCGTGTGTCCCTAAAGGAGTCCGCAGGGGGACGGAGGATCCGTCTGCTCAGATACAAAAAGGGCAGCTGTGCTCTGTGCTCACGGGGCTGAGGCACCTTCTGCCCAAAGAAGGAAGACACGTTGTGCACTGTCACGGTCACCGATTATCTGGCCACGTTCGGCTTTCCTGCTTAGGTTTTAACGGTGTCGCTGAAACAATGGCACGTGCAGTCCTAAATAGCTGAGTCAGCACGTCTCGGTTTCTGACACAGGCTCACTTTCTGCATCAGCTGAGCGCCCCCAAAGGAGCCCAAACCTGAGCCACCTTGCAGAGAGAGTGGTGGGCGGAGAACCCCCACATGGGCCCGCACGCGCGCACGCACACACACACGCACACACACACACACACACACACACACACACGTGCGTTTCCACCTCCCACACCTCCGCACAGCCTGGCCTCAGACTGGATCTGTCACCGGCTTGCTATTCCAGGCGGGATCTAATTCGGTGCACAGCTGTCTGCTCACACATGGCAAGCGCTCTCATTCCCACCTCCCCACGCGGCCCAGGGACGCTTAAATCATACAAAAATCTTTGTTAGTACCTTGATCTGAAATTAGTTCAGAATTTAGCATTCCATGTTACTAAATCCAATACTAAGTTCTCATTTAAAACTATGCAGTGAGATTCCTTTTTATAAAATATATGCCCAGTCAGTTTCTTTTCATAGTCTGAGATGTTGAACTGCAATGGCCCAGGGACGCTAAAAACTCACACAGCACACTGGCCCTTCTGCCGAGACCCCCAGGCCCAGGCGACGGCTCGGCGACCACCCAGCCCTCACTAGCGTCACGCTCTGGTGGCTGAACACACGCCCTGTCCCTGCCTGCCCGGACTCCACCCTCTGATGGGAAGGGAGCGGTGAGCCCTGCGCTGCACCCGAAGTGGGTCTGGGCTGCGGAAGTCCTGTCCGCCCTCTTGCGGAGCCTGCGTTCCAACCCCAGCCTGGGTGGAGCCTGGGGGCGTGGGTGGGGTACACAGGCCACTCACCGGGGGTCCGTCGGCGCCGGGCATTCCTGGGAGGCCAGGCTTCCCCAAAGGACCCTAGAACAGACCAGACACCCATGAGGAAAAGCCTGGCTTCACTCTTTCCTGACCGGCCAGCCTGTAGTGCGGCACCGCAGTCCCTCTCCAGAGTTTCCACCCCACATGTGCGGACATGCACTCCCGGGCGCCTCCCATGCAACCCCCTGCGCCCATCAGAATGGCCCAGTGTCACAGTACCGGCCCTGGACTGTTCCCAGCCAGCCCAGTCCTGGCGGCAGTCAGGCCATCTGAGTGCCAGCCCTGGGGCTTCTGACCCCTCGCCATGCACCCCCGAAGCCTCCCCTCTGCCCCACACCCTACACTGGGGAAGGCAGGTGTGCAGGTGCCATAGGCCCCCCAGTCTAGCAAGCCAAAGCTAACTGCAGAGCCACACACCAAACGAGGTGCCGGCTAAATCTGAATTTCAGAGAAATCACAGGCTTCACATTTAACTGCGCATCCTGTCACTTTATTCTTCCTAAATCTGCCTAGGTTTGGCAGGAGGATGAATAAGTGAGTGAATTTATGCACTGGTGAGTGACAGAGCCCAGCTCTTCCCCGTGGCTGACTCCCTCAGTTCTGCTGGGCTGAGCTCTGGGGCCTTGCAGAGAGCGCGGGGAACAGGCTCCATGCTGGGCTTGGACCGGGGTCATGGGCACAGGCAGGCGGCCTCCCCTTCCCCATGGCTCAGCCCACTCACCTTATCTCCCGGAGGACCGATGGCGCCCTGGGGGCCTGGAAGACCCTGCAGGGACAGAGGCAGGCAGTGGAGGCGAGGAGAGGATGGCTCAGAGCCCGGCCCCTCGCCTGCCTGCCCTTCCCATGGTCACAGCCCAAGCCCCACCACCAAGCCACTTACCTGGGCACCAGGGTTGCCCTGCTGTCCTGGGGGGCCAGGCTCTCCCTGGGGGCCCTATGGAAAACAAAGGCAAAGGCCCTGAAGGGGGCTCAGGAATTGCACCTCCTTCCTCACCACCCACCCTTATGTCTGCTCCTAACTGCCCTGGCTACAGCACCAGGTGCCAGAGGAGCAGCTGGGCAGGAAGGGGTCACAGGTCCCCCCAGAGGCCAGCGCCAGGACTTGGAGCACCAGGGCTGCTGCCCATGACTCTGACAGGGGCACTAGCTCGCCCCTGCACGAATGTCTGAGCCAGACAGGGAAGTATTTCGCCAGGTAGAAACACCTGCAGCAGGCCCTCCTGGTTTTTAGTTTCCGGTGTCCTTAAAAGACACAATGCAGCGGCCTCATCTTCTAGGGCATTTGCTGCCAGCTCCTCCCACAGGAAGAAAGTGACCTCCTCCCTGTGCATCTCACTGACCGTCCAGGCACTGGACAGACAGACTCAGGTGGCAGTGGACTGGGGCTCAGGTCCGCACCTCTGCTCCCTACCAGCGAGGGCCTCCCCCGCTAGGCCGGCAGGGCCCGCAGCCCCACCATAGAGCCAGTGGGACTCACCACACTTCCTTTGGGGCCTGGTTGACCGTCCATACCCGTCACACCCTGTGGAGATTCAAAGGCATGTACTGAATGTAGACAAAAGACCAGTGCTGGAAAGTCCAGCTTGACCTGACTCAGATGCCTGCCACACACGGTCGCAGGGGACAGGACATCTTTGGGGGAGGGGGAGAATTAACCCCAAGTCCCATCCCCGAGTCTGCTGATCGGCCCCAAGCCCTCAGCCAAGGAACAGCTAAGTGCCAGGACCAGCGTCATCCGGACGGGGCCGAGTTCTAGGCAGGCTGCTGGGGCCCTGCAGGCAGGTGCAGCCCTCCAGGACAGAGACCACCGGCAGCCTCTGCCTGCTGCGGGAACCTTGCTGAGGTTGATGTCTGCCTAAGGGTCTCTAGGCAGAAGACCTGGCCTTATGCGGGACTGCTCATCACAGAATTAGCCCAAGAGGGAGCCAGAAACAGGCCGACTGCCCACCCTCCGCCTGCAGCCCCACACTGTGGGTGCCCACCCAATACCCCAGGGACCACTTGCTTGGCAGCAGAGTACCACACATGCGAAGAGGGGATGCACTTACTGGGGGTCCTGGAGGGCCCGGGGGCCCCTTCGGCCCAAGCAGACCACGTGGCCCCTGCAGCAGGAAAGAGCAAGGAAGGGTCAGGGTTATGGAGCACTGGCTCTTGGCCCCTGTCCACGGTGATCTTGTGACCTGGCTGGGCTCTCCCAGAACCTTGCTAGTGACCTAGGACTTGGGGAGGGTGACGATGCCCCTGGCCCTCCGTGCTGGGAATCAGAGGCAGGAGGCCCCTGGCATGGAGAGGCACTCTCAGGAAAGGGGTCTTTGTCATGGACACCCGCTTGGGCAGGCAGGTAGACGGTCTCCTATAGAAATGCCACAGTTAAACCAGGCCGCTTGGGCGCTCTGCCCGACACCCAACTCCGATCCCTCTGGAATCCTCTCAGCAAAGACAAGCAGCCTTACTTCCTTCAGGGGAGCAAGGATGCGGGGAGCAGGGTCAGGAGAAACTAGGTCTTTGATGGGAGCCTCAGAATCATTTAAACAAATTTTGGTACCATGGATCGAACTCAGGATCCTGCGCTTACAAGACAGGCGGCAGAACCACTGAGCTAAATTCCCGGCCCTCCTCAGAATCTTGCTGGGGTTGGTCACCCCTTCTGCAGCAGTGACGGGCCACATGCAATGGCCCAAATACTCTGGAGTGGGCACAGGACCTGGCTGCAACCTGAGATGGTCTGCGAGACGCCACCATGGTCTGCACAGGACGGCCGCGCCCACCCTGCCCCAGGGACGACGGCGCACACGGCTCAGCGATTTCAAGGGCCTTTAATTATGATACTAGAACCTCTCCAGACAGAATAGAAAGAAGCCCTTCTCACAGGCATTGCCTCTTAAGGGCTTTCTCCGTAATTTTAACACCTAATCATAGAAATAGTTTTTGGAAGCCGATAACCCAGAAGGGACTGCTCGGATGTGTGTCGGGGAGAGCGGCGTGATGGATCCTCCTCACGGGCTAATCAGGCACGGGGTAGAATTCAGTCCCTGACAGACCCACATGGGCCCACACGCTCTCCTCGGCATGGCGTGCACAGTATTCGTCATTAATTAATGTCGCCAGATGCAAATAGCCACCTGGCTTGGACAACAAGAAAAGAGAGGTTTCGAGCTGCAGGAACTGAAATGTAATTCATGTCCTGGTATCACTGAGAAAATCTGCTTGGGGCCTAACTACAAGTCAGTTGAGGAAAGTTTCTCCCTGTCAGGGGCTGGAAAGATGCAGCCATCAGAATAGGGCAAAGTGACCAGCCTGGCCTTATAAAAGACGGGACCCCTGCCCCACAGCAGCCTGGACACCCCCAGGGCCCTTGGGCCAGACTTTGACGGCAGGGAAGGCCAGATGCTCCGCTTGCTGTCACCCAGCCCCAAGTGCACTTCTTCCTTTCTCTCCAAGTCGAGCGAAAGGCTGAGGCCTTACTCCTCTGCACCTCTAGCCCTGCTCCAGAGGTGGCCTTGCTGTGGCCACCTTGCTTGCCACGTCACCAAGACCCAGAATCCCACCCATCAGCGCACCTACCGGCTCCCCCGGCAGCCCTCTGGGCCCGACTTCTCCGTCGTCACCCTGTGGAGGAGAAAGCAGGGGGATCTTAGGCACACTGAGGCATAGACACTGACAGGTCACACCCCTCAGGCCGGCCACCCAGCAAGACCCTGGCCAGGGCCGCTCCAGCACCTGCCACTTCGTGGTCCTACACCTGTAGGAGAGGCCTGGGAGGCCCCACCCAGCCAGCTGCAGGAACGTAGACCCTATGGACACCGTGAGGCTCTGCAAAGGTCTTGGTCACCCTTGTGACTGGCAGAAACCAAGACAGAGGGGCAGCAGCAAGAGTCACGGGTACCCTTGGCCAGCCAGGGGGTCAGGGTTGCCAGGGCCGCACAGCCCAGGAACAGATCTCGCCCTCGCCAGGAGTGTTTCCCTGGCTGCACAGCCCACACTTGGGGCTGCTGCCAGCTCAGCTCACAAAGCATCACCACTCTCCTGTCCTCCACACGTGTAAGCACACGGTGCTGTGTGTGCACACAGAAACACCTCATGCAGGTACACACATGCACACAGCCACACAAGTGTGCACACACTGGTGCCCCTGCATGCAAACAGCCCATACACAAGCACACATACACACAGCCACGCACCCTATGCACCCTCACACACATTCTCACAAGGGCATGTGTGTGTACACAAGCACATGTGCACCATGCACACACAGGCGCACACACACAACTTCCTCCCGCATCATCTAAAAAAGGACCCTTTTCCCTTTCCTCATCTTACAGCAGGGCTGTGCTGAGGCCCAGGCAGAAAGATCCCCAGAAGGACGGTGTGAAACTGCGCCACCTGCTCCCCTCCCACTGTCCAGGTGCTCTTAACCTCCCCAGATTCCCTAACACCCAAAGACCTTGAGAGAACAGGACGCAAGGAAGGCGGGGCTCATGCGTCCACAGCTGCACAGTGCATCCAGCCTTGGTCTGGAGATGTTCGTGGCAGGTGCGGGGGCTCAGAAGCCCGGGGTTTGGGGAGCAGCTTCCCTCCCCAGTCACCTGGCCCTCCCCGCCTCCAGGGCAAAGGAAATTATTTCCCCTCCTCCCCCGCCCTCGCTGGCACCTGTGCACTGCACCTGACCCCCTTCTTGACAGGCTGGTGAGTTCTGCGGAGATGCTAGCTCATTAAGGCCATGCCTCTCCCTCCTGTGGGTGAGGGGCACTGCCTCCTGCAATTAGAGGGGCTCTTCCTGACATCTGTGACAGGAGAAAGCCACTCCCAGCCCTCTTAGCAGGAACGGTGGGTGCGTGAGGTAGATGTGGGTGATCTGTGCTTATCTCAAAGCTCTGCAGCGCCTCCCCACGGCCAAGCATCCCAGCACCCAGACTCCTCCGCTCCTTCCTCCCACCAGCCTCCAGTCCCAGAGCGCCTGGTCTCGCCCAATGATCTCCCCGCCCAAACTCGCAGAGCAGCAGCAGCAGGTGCTCTGCAGGCAGGACGGGGTACCTACCCTTTCTCCATCATCTCCCGGGAGCCCCGGCGGGCCAGAAGGACCAGGGTCGCCCTAGAAGGCAATCAGGGTCAGTGTCAGCCACACCTGAGCCCGCACACAGAGCCTGCCTTGAGGCCCGGCTTCCTTGCTCTCTAATCGTGATCCTGCAAACCCTAAGCCCCGTGAGTGTGCAGAAGGTGCCACCTGGCTGGCGTGGTGGCTGAGTCACCAGACCGAGCACCCAGCAGGCACAAGGACAGTCCCAGGCCACTGAGCAGGGTTCAAGCCAGCTGGGCCTGAGGGTGCTGTGTGAGGTGGACATGACCACCTCATACCCACAGCCCCTCAAGCCCGGGCCTCACACACAGCTGGCCCTTGGTATGTGCCCATCAGCCCATCATTGGGACTAAGGCCAAACTGGGTCTTCCCCATCGCGGTGTGGGCAGGGCTCACGGACCCCAGCCTCCACTTCTCAGCACACAGTGGAGTGTGACAGATGACTCCCACTGGCAGATCCAAAGGTGTGTGCTTGTGTTGCCTACGTGTGCACACGGGTGCCTGAGTGTGTGCGCCTGTGTATGCGCATGTGCGTGCATGTATGCCTCTGTGGGTGTGTGCGCCTGCACACATACACCAATGCCTGTCTGTCCCAAATGTGTCAAACTGAAAGGAAGCATCAGAGAAACCTGCTTCAAAGAAAGCAGGGCAGAGAGAAAACATCTAACGAGCCACACAGAGGTATCATAACCGGTCCTTGCCACACGGGGCAAGGAGGCCAGCACAGGCAGCCGGGTACTGGCCCAGCCCCCCCTTCTGAGGACAAGGACTTGAGTCGTCCCCCCTCCCAGGCCACCACTCGAATGTGCAGTGTCCCTGGCAGCTCCCCAAAGGTAGCTGCCTGGCCTCCCTGAGGCTGGGGAGGTTCTGTCGACAGAAGGGGGCCTCTAGGCAGGCGGCATCCCCCCGCCCCACGACACCCACAGGGAGCGGCCTGTTGGGTCCACTGAGCTTGCTCACTGCAAGCCGCAGAAGAGAAATCCAGTTTGCTTCCACTGACTCTCCATCAATAGACAGCTCCTTGTCACCCCAGTGAGCTTTCTTCAGGACCACTTTGGAATGGAGGGGACCCGACCCTATGCAAGGAACCAGGCTGCGTGGAAGGACCTCTGAGAAGCCCCTGCCGGCTCCTTGCACCTGGCACTCACCCTGTGGCCCTTTTCGCCAGGCAACCCGGCCAGGCCGTCAAAGCCACGGTCGCCCTGCAAAGACAACAGAGAGCTGCGTCAGATGCCACCATGCAGCTGGCTGAGCAGTGGCCGAGCTGCTTCAGGCCCCAGGTCTGAGCCACTCTGGGCCTTGGTGGCCACTGGGAGGCCCTCAGCACAGCCCACCTCATAGGGTCTACAAACCCAGCCTCCCCCAAGCCTCAGCAGGGGCCACTGCTGACCCTGGGCACGGGCCACAGTGTCCACAGGCCTGGGATACACAGCATTTTGGGTGGCTGCTGTACCGTGAGCACGTGTGCATTGGCTCTTGGTCTCCCCAGTGGAAAGGGCAGCTCCGGGGCCGGCCTGTCTGCTATGATCCCCATGGCCAGTCTCATGGGTGACTCTCTTCTGCCTTCCCAGGTCACCAAAGATCAAGATGCCTCATGAGCTCAGGACTCAGGGCAGCACTCCAGAGCCCAGCCATGCCAGCTGGGCACAAAAAGAGGGAGTGGATGTTGGCTTCCTTGGTGACCCAGGCTGCCTGCTTGGTCTCCTCACTGGAGAAAGGCTCTGTCACCTCTGCCACCTCCCTGAAGCCAGCAGGAGGGGTGGCCCGGGGACAGGGTAAAGGTCCAGGTGAGGTCATGGCACGGGGATGGACATGGGGATTGCAGGGAGGACACCAACCAGCACAGGTCTGGACCCCATGCATCGTGAGCCTGGCACTCACCAACAGGCTATGCCGGGCTGCCCTGCAATACCTTGAGCCCAGATGCTGCAAGCAGGCAAGAAGACATCTGCCCCTGGCTCACAGGCTGCCTGCACACTCCAGGGCCACCATGCCCTGATCATGTGGCCTGGCCACGGTGGCTCTCACAGTTGGGACTCCACCACAGCCTGCTCACCACCAGGGGACAGGAACAAGCTGTCCCCTTAGGGAAACCGAATGAAGCTGTCACTCACATGGTCCATCCCGAGGAACTGACCCCAGGGAGCTGTCAGCACCCACCGAAACCATGTACAACCCACATGCAGGCGTGTCGTCACCACGACGACAGGCATGATGACAACCTTGGTGCCGACACCAGGAGGTACAGGCACTGCCTACCTTGGGGCCTGTTTGTCCAGGCATACCTCTCGCTCCGTCACTCCCAGCCCTGCCCTGGAATAGAGGAAGCGTGAGGAGGTCAGTACCAGGGGCAGGTGTCTCACCACAGACCGAGCCGAGGGTGGACAAGCCGGCGTCCAGCCCACAGCCCCCCCACGTGGTCAGGCTGGCCAGAGGACCTAGATCCGGAGCCCTGAGGCCCTCACCACACAAGAACAAGGCAGTGGCCTCGCTGGGGTCCCTGGCACAAGGTCATCTCCCCTCTGGATGTGCTAGACCCGCTGGGGCTTCCAGTCTTAGGCACCACGGCCTAGAACTCTGGGGGGCGGACTGCTGACATCATGGGCAGCACCTCCCCTCCACCCCTCGGAAGGCACAACAAGCTAGAGGCTCATGTGCGAGAGCACTGATGAATGCACTTGGCCAAGGAGGGAACTGGAAGGCTGTGACTCTCCAAGGCCAACAGGGTCCCCAGCCCTTGTCCCCAGTGGCCACTCCCGTGCCACGACTTCCAGCCATGGAATGGCCAAGCCCACCATGCCCAGCTAAGTGGCCACGGGTCTGGCAGGCAGGGCCTGGAGCTTGAGCGTCCACTATGAAGGCCCCGACCACCACGGGAAGAGCCCCCAAGGTGACAGGGACTCAGCCAGTCCTGTGAGATTCTGCCAAACCAGTGTTCCTGGTCATCCAAGCACTGAAGACAGAGGGCCCAGATGCACCCCTATTCTATTTCCTGTGTACCCCGATCAAACCAGCCTTGGTCAACTCGCCGCCAGGCAAGAACATCTGGACAGCGGGCAGCGGTTTGGGGTTCGTCAGTGTCACAAGCAATGAGGACAGCACAGCAGAAGAACAGAGAAGGAAGCAGAGAGGTCCCGAAGACCGGGAAGGGAGACAGGAAGTGAAGGACTGTGCAGGGTGAGACTCCTCGGCGGACACACAGACTGACAGGAGCCTCCCCCACATCCACTAACAGCTTTCGACATCAAGGGAAACCGGCGGGTTAAGTCCTGCCCTGCAACGCATCCAGATGTTTCCACAGCCCCCGGGATGCGCTCCTCACAGGAAACAATGGGTAAGAACTGGGGGCTCCTCAAAGCACCCGGAAGCGGGTGAGCAGAGGCCCCTTTCCACACCCTCTTCTGCATGGCACCTTTGGGGCACAATGACTCCCTGGGATCCCCGGACACAGTCACAGCCCTGCCTCGACTTCACTGAGCAGCTTGTCTCTCTGAACCGTGAGGTCGGTCTTGCCTTCCGAACTTTCCCTCACCCTGATTGGGGCACCTTTTAGCGATGCTCAGCTGTATTCACAGAGGCACACGGGAAACCTACCGAGATCAAACCCAGCCCGCGATAACCTCCCGCTTGTCTGGGGATTCCTGAGCAGAATTCTACAGGATTCCTGGGCAGCGGCCCTGGGGAATCAGCCCGGCCAGCCCCCGCCTGTGCCTTGAAGAGGTGGGTACTGGCTGCGGGGGTCCTGGGTGTTTGAGCCGTGAGGTTAACCACACCTCCAGCTCGCCACGATAGCTCTTACCACTCTGTAAATGCACACCCCTTCCAGTAGCCAGGAGAATGATTCCCAAACAAAGATCCCGGGGGGAGAGAAAAATCAGCTGTAGGCCTGAGCGGGCGCCTGGGCACTGATTCAAATCAGGGCCAGGTCTGGAGCCACGAGGCTGCCCCAAAAGACAGGCCCAAGAAAGGGCTGGGCACTGGGACCAGGCAAGCTGTCCCAATCCTGGACACTTGGCACCCCTGGAGGTGGACACACCCTGCACTGAGGGATCCACCATGACCCGGCCGTCCCCACCCCATTGGATCTCGTCCCCTACACACTCACCCGTCTTCCGGGCTTCCCTGATGGGCCGGGTGGGCCCTGCACGCCTCGGGGACCCTGCCAGGAGAATCAGGACAGGATCAGCACCCACTGCCCTCTTCAGGACCAGCAAAGCCTGGTCCACACACTTGCTGGCCCAGCCCAACGCTCACTGTCCAGCCACCAACACATGGCGTCTCGGGACAGGGAACAGACAGGCTCACTTGCTTTCCTGAAGAGATGGCAAGGGGGGACACCACCATTCTGGTCCCTGTGGCCAGTGAACGGGATAGCTTGGCTGAAAGAATACGAGGTGCCCACCTACCTGAGGCCCCATGTCGCCCGGCTCGCCCTTCAGACCTCCGTTGCCAGGAGGGCCCTGTGGAGACAGGTCAGGATTAGCACGTGCTCCAGGGAGGGCCTCGGGGCGGGGACAGGGCCACACACACTGGCTCACGGTAACCCGTGCACAGCAGAGCCAGCGGGCTCTGTGAGTATGGGCCCTGAGACACAGGCTCGGACCCAGTCTGTGAGGCAAAGCCATAGCCTGGGCAGCTGTGGGGGGCTTGGCCTGGGCCCTGGGGACAACCCCAGGCTCCCAGCCCAGCAGGCCCTGGTCCATCAAAGGATCACCCCACCCACTTACAGTGTCCCCAGCAGCTCGGATCCTGTGCTCTGCAGGGGGTACACAGGGCTCCCTACCCTCTTGCTCCCCCAGGATCCCCCTCCAGGCACTGAGACCCGAGTGGCCTTGAGCCAGTGCCTCCCACCCTGACCCCCAGCAGGGCCCGGGGCAGCACCCAGAGGTCATTCATCTGCACCGCCACCCTGTGCCCCGCAGCAGGGAACAGTGCCACACAGGGCCAGCCTGAGACCTGCCAAGGACTCACCATGGGGCCAGGTCTCCCTGTCAAGCCCATCGGGCCAGCTGGGCCCCGCAACGCCAGCTGCAGAGGAGAGGAGAAGGGACACAGTAAGGTGTTGCCCCTTAGCCAGGAGCTGACCAGTGCGGTGTGGCCGGGAGGGGACGGGAGGCCAGGACAGGGCAGGGACAGAGACTCTGGGAGACAGGGCCAGGCGGTCCTGCAGGGGCCCACTGGCCTGGCTTCTCTGGGCCCAGTGCCCACTGCCGTGAAACCAGAGCTGAACGTGGAAGGCGGCCGTCACTCGGGACCCAGCTAGGGGGTGCATTTCCTACTCCAGTCGAAAAATATTTTACTCCCCTAGAAGACCCATCAAGCCCTCTCCGGCCTGGGGGGCATTTGGGGTGAGTGGGCCTGCATGACCCTGGGCTCTCGTCCCCACCTGACCCTTAGTAGTGGCTCCCCCTGCCACCAGGAAGCTTCAGTGTGACTTCCGGGAGCCGCTGTCATAAGCCTGTGATCTCTCCAGTGCCATTCTAATTTGGGAAGACTTTCACACCATAAAATCTCCTTCTGAGCCCATCGCCCCTCAGCTTGGACTGAAATACGGATGAAGAGGCTGGCCAAGCGGCCCAAGTCAATAAATCCAGTCGCAGGTGACGGGCTCGCCAGGCACTGCCCTGTATCACCGGCCAATTTGTTCTGCAGCAACTACTCAGTACTTACACCGGCTGCAATAACCCACGCGCTCCGCTCACTAGCACTTCCCTGGGCCGCGCCGCAGCGCATAAATGTCCGCCAACAAGGGACTGCCTGCAGCTTCCCTGCACACCTCACTGGGGGACGGCCCACTGCCCCGGGCACCCCCTGGGCACGTGTGCTCCCGGCATGGGCACTCAGCAGTCTGGAGCCACATCCACTGGAAGGGCAGACGCAGACCTGTTTACCAGCACGCTGCGGGCCTGAGGCAGGAGCGCTGCAAGTTCAAGCCCAGCCTGGGCAACTTAGTGAGACCCTCTCCCAACAAAAGTAACAAAAAAGCCCGGGGGGCAGTGCCCAGCACCGAGAAAAGATAATTGCAGTCCTCAGACTGGCCGATCCCCAGGAAGCAGGCACTTCCTCATCTGCAGACTCCGCTGCCCAGGACCCAGGCCCAGAGCAATGAGTCCTGGGCCCAAGGGCTCTCTGGCCAGCCCCGGGCGCCTGAGTGAGCCACTATGCCCAATGGGGCTTCTCTGCCCAGTTCAGGACTCCAGTGCCCAGCCTGGCTCGGACTTAGGCACATGAAAGCAGCAAAAGATGGGCCCATCAGGTCAGAGGTTCACAGCCCGTGCTGTGGACAAGGGACAGGTCCCCCAAACTCCCTGTGCTCACAGGGGCCTCTCCTCCAATCACACAGTGACCCAGCCACCCCAGCCTTGGGGCCGACCTCTGTCCCCGAGCCACCCCTGGGCCCGCACCACTCACCCTGGCCTGCTGGAGGATGGCCTGGGCCTGAGACTCCTGGGCGGAGACCATGGGGCCTTTGGAGCCCGCATCCCCACCGCCTCCAAAGCGGAACTGTGGGAAGAAAACAAGGGTCACTCGGTCTGACGCAGCGCCCGCCTGGACCCCAGGGCAAGGTGGTGCCCACAGGCTTCTGAGGTGAGGCAGTGCCCTGACCCACACTCACCCTGCCTGCCCATTTCAGCCCCAGGGATGCCCGAGACCCACCCTGCATCCTGAGAGCCCTTTCTGGCCTCCACAGGGGGAGCCCATGACCCCCGTGACTGCCAGGGAACGTGGCCTGGAAAGGGCGCCCCAGTGCCACACTGGTCTCCCCACGTGACACGCATGAGGAGAGAGGTCCTTTATCTAGGGGCCCAGGAGAAGAGCCTACAGGAGGTGACATCCGTGCCTTCTCTTCCCACACCACTGAGTCCCCCGATGGGAGAGGCTGTCACAGCCCTGGAGCCCCAGCCTGGCCCCACCCCACCACGGCCTCCGGCCCCCTCCCCTCTCCCGATGCAGAAACCGCTCTGGGCAGTGGCTGGCCTGGTGGGTGACACTGTGTCCAAGGAGACTTTCTCCTGGACACACAACCTGCCCCACGTTCAGACGTTTCCCGCCCTGATGTGCACACTCACCGGAAGCATGAGCATGGTTCCCGGCGGGCCAGGCAGGCCATCGGCCCCAGGAAGGCCAGGACGTCCGGGGGGACCCTGGGGAAAGAGAGAGACACCAGGTCAGAGCAGGATGGGGCCGAGCCAGGCCTCAGTAAGGATAAAGGCGCAGAGAGGCACCGCCCAGGGCAGGGTAGAGCTGTGTGCCGGTCAGGGGAGCGCATCAGGAAGGACGGATGAAGGGGCAGGACACAGCGCTCACGGAGGGGCCGGGGGTTCCCATCCATGGCTTCACACTGAACAGGAACACAAGCCCCAGGCTCCAGGGCCCAGTGCCCATCCTTGGGCTGGCCCAGCTCTGTGTGCGGCCGCCAGGACAGGAGACGGAATGGGTGCACCCTCTCTCAGGCAGATGCAAACAAGGCTGTCAACAGGAGGGCAACCTGGACAGGAACCCCTCCCAGCGACTCCGAGCGCTGTGTCTCAGAAAGGACCAGGGGCTCTCTCTCCCCAGACCACCAACCTGGCCTCTAGGCCAGGGCCGGGACCAGAGTCTCTGAGCCTCGATGTCGGGAACACAGAGGGACCAAGGTGCTTTATTTCAGGCCAGTCTGGTCACACAGCTTGTCACCGGGGCTGGCGCCTGGCCTGAGGAAGATGAAGCCACTCTCCACCTCGATGGCACTGAATCCCTCCCCGTGACCACTCTCACACCCGGTGTTGGCGTCACGGCTACACGGGGCCCTGTGTGCGGCACATAGCAGCGGGGCAATGAAAGCTCCAAGCCTCTGGATCTACTGAGGAGCGTGCAGAACCGTCTGGGCCTGAAACCAAGACTTGGCTGCCTTTCCTCCATCAGGTATTTTGGTTACACAAGTGACCCAGGCTCTTGTGAGACTTATCGGTGCTACAGAGACTTCCAGAGTGAGCAGAGAATGCCCCTTCCTCCTGCAGAAGTCTCCAGCGCTACCACCCATGTGTGCAGAGACAAAGAGCCGGAAACAGGCCAGCACGAGGGTCTGACCCGCCTGCCGCTGCACAGGGCCGGGCTGGAGGGCTGTTCTCCTTCACTGATGGGGCCGTCCAAACATCGTCTCCTTCATAGCCAGCCCCGTCCGCTTATATCACTGCCCTCATTCTTTCGGCCTGTGCAGCCTTCGCCTGACCCGTCCTTGACTGAGGGGACAAATGCTGCCAGGATGGATGCTCAGCAGATATCTGCTGGGCAGCTCCTGAGGGACAGAGCCGCTGACCCAAGGCTGGATTTCTCTGCTAATGGATGCTGCCAAACTGCCCTCAGCTGCCATTTGGGGAAAGAAAATTCTCAGAAGACAAAAAAAAAAAAAAAAAAAAGATCCAGGGAGGGCTAGCAAGGTGGCTCAGTGGTAGGGCACTTGCCTAGCTTGCACAAGGCCCTGGACTGCATTCCCAGCACTGCACACGCGTGCACACACACACACACACACACACACACACTCGTGCACACGCACACACTCGCACAGAGCCTGTTTTGCAGGCCAGGGTCTCTCTGGGAAATGGAGTGCTCACAGCTGCATCAGAACTGATCATGAGCCAAACCCCACTTTTCAACCCGAGGGGCCTGTCCCTCCGGAAAGAGCTGCTGCCCATGCAGAATACGACTGCATGCGTGTGTGGGCATGAACCGGTACACCGTGAGGCTGTACACACCTGCGTGTGTGTGCTGCACGCCTGTGCATGCACAGGGGGCACCAGCCAGCAGGGAGCGTGCTGAGGGTGCCCTCGCCCACTGGAGGCTCCCCGCTCTCCACGAGCCATGTGGGAGAAGCCCAACCTCAGCGCTGTCCACGCAGCCTCACTTCGGGGTGGACACTCCCTCCCACACAGCCGGAAGGCCCAGAGACTGCGAATTGAGCCGGAGAACCTCAAGGACAAGGGCGGGCCAGAGCCCACACCGGGACAGCCGTGCAGGGACGAGGAGCCTGCCTGAGGCTTGTGGACCGTTTTCGCCCTAACCTCATGAGCACCCCAAAGGCCACACGATGGGGTCTGGCAGCACAGATGCCCCCAGAGCCCGACCTGCAGTTTTGCCACTTGTTCCTTTACAAATCCCTGCACGTGTTCTCGCTCTGCCTCCCTCCCGAGAGCTGCCTACTCTCCTCTGCGGCGCCACATTTACAAGCTCCACTTCCTGTCCCGTGCGTGGCGGGAAGCCCACTTCCCCCTGCCTTCTGTGATGCTGCATGTGTGCCTCCAGGTGGCCTCAGGGGACAAAGCCATGAGGGAAATGTGATGGGAAGCGGCCGGGAGTCCTGGGGACCAGGTCACTGGGACAGTGGCACGTGAGCCCCACAGCCATCCTTGCTGCAGGACAAGATAACAGAGTCGCCTGAACTGTGTGTGCATACACACGTGTGTCTGTGTGTGAGCACAGGGGCACGTGTGCATTCGTGACTGTGTGTGCGTGTACACGTGAGGTGTGTGCACACGTCTATGCATATTGGTGTGCGTGTGTGTGCACGCGTATGAGTGTGTCCGTGTAGGCACCTGAGGCTGTAGGAGTGTCTGCTCATGCGTATATGAGTGTGTCTTGTGCGCATGAGCTCACGTGTCAGCCTGTGGCACGCTCTGTGACATCCTGAACAGGTCTGAGCTCAGAGACGGCTTAGCACACCCCAAAGGGATGGGCACTGCCACTGTCCTCCCACCGGAAAGTGTGGGCCACTGTGAGGTGCTTTCTCTCCTGTGCCTCAGCATCGGGCAGGGCCACCTAACCCACACACGAGAGGCCTGGCTCACACCGGCTCGAGACGCAGCGCACCCAGTGCACCACCTGCTCATCGGCCAACTAGGGCGGCAGGCGCTGACGGCCAGCTCCGTCCCACCCCGTCACAGGGACGGGAGGACCCGGGAGCTGAAGGCGGGCCCGGGAGTGCTACGGTGCAAGGGCCGTGACCTCGCTCGTATCTGTGGTGCACAGCAGCCCACCACAGCTACCCAGTGTGCCTGCCCAGTGCGGGGAAGGGGCTGTGAGGAGAGGCGCAGATGCGAGCCCATTAAGCCTGGTCCGATGACCAGATGTCCTCAGCAGAGGCCCTGGGAAGAAGGGGCGGGGGAAACTCCAGGCTGGGAGGGAAGGGGCGGCAGGCAGATGGCATGGTGTGGAGCCTCCCGTGCAGCCCGGCAAATGAACCAGGCGGAGGAGGTAGGAGTCATCACCCCAAGCCTCTGCTGGAGCCCGAGAAGGAGGCTGCGCAGTGGCCAGGGTTCACACTGTCTGCCTCAGAGCAGAGCGTAAACTTCCCATTCGAAGGCGGCATTAGGCCCGTCCCCACACCAGGGTGGGGACAGCAGCTGTGAGCACCAAGGCCAACCCGGGCCCTGAGCCTTCCAGGGCAGACCCTCCCTTCCCCCGGTACCCCGGTCACTGCCCCCCAACTTGCACCCCCAAAGCCCTGCCCTTTGTCTGGTCTCATCTCCCCCTGCGCTGTCTGTGTGACGGTGGCACACGAGCTCCTGGCCCAGTTACTTAATCACATTTCACTTCTCACGCAGAATTAAGCACAGGAGTAAAACCTCCTGCCTCTGTTCTCTGAACTCATAGGCCCCGGACACTCAACGTTATGAGCTACAGGGAAACGTTCTCCGTCACAATACAGGGATTCTGAGCCCCCAACACACACACACACACACACACACACACACACACTCAGAGCACTGCAGGGTCCTGGCTCCACAGCATAACAAGACGTCCCCGAGACCCGGTACTGAGAGGATGCAGAGCCGTGGGCACAGGCGACTTTCTGAACAGGCTCACCTGAGCACAGAGCCATGCTGGGCCTGGGATCAGCGCCCTCCGCCCAGAAGGCTCCTGTAGCCAGCTCCGAAGACTACAGGCGCTGGCGGGGCTGGCTGCTCTGCCTCCCAGGCCCAGTCCCCATGCTCCCGGGACCTGAGCTGAATTTAAGGGGGATGAGGAGCTGGAACCCACGCTACTCCACTATCGGAGACGGGATCCTGCCACAGAGCCCTGGGCCAGGCTGCCCAACTCTGGCTCAAAGGCAGGGAGCAAATGGAAAGAGGCAACCCGGCTCACGGCCAGGCAGGCCCACAGAGCCCAACTGGCACCCATGGGGGCACTTGGGGAATATTTCTCTGTGTGACAAACAGGCGGAAGGACAGACACTTGGAACAACACTGAGGCTGACAAGTGACACCCGTCATCACTGCCCCCCATGCCTACAGAAGAAATGTTTCCTGATGTCACTGCTTTGGCTTCTATCTAGATGTCCCCCTCACCCCAAACCCCAAGCGCTCATAGGAAGACTTTGGGAAGTGACTGGATCGCAGGTGTGTAATACCGAGCAGCCCACTGAGCAGTTAGCATAGATCTGGGTGTGGTCGGCGGACTTAATAAAGAGGGAAGACCCACCCGGGGTGTGGATGGCACCGACCAACAGGCTTACAGCCCGGACGGAATGAAGAAGGGAAGGAGGAAGGCTCGCTGCCTCCTTTCTGCCCTGCCGTGGACTGATTCTCCTCTGCGACTCCTCTGCCATGCGGCCCTGCTGACTAGGGACTGAGACCTCCACAAGCTGTGAGCTAAAGAAACCTTTCCTCCTTTAATTCGTGGGTTTTGTCCCAGAAATGAGGGAAAAAAACTAAGACTGTCACACTGATGCGGCTCCAGGGATGGGACTTGGCCCCTTCCGTCTTGCACAGATATTTGGGGACAGGGTCGCCGAGGAGGCTGGGTGCGTGCAGGCTCTACTGTGAATGCCCTGCTAGCCCAGGGCTGGGTGAGGACTGGGGCAGCAGAGCCAGGGAAGCCTGGGGAAGCTGGGCGAAGCCTCAGAGACTGGCAAGGCCCTGCTCCTGCTGCTGTTCCTCCCCCAGGGGAGACCCCAGCACCCGGGACCCCAATCCCTGGCCACAAGGAACTGTGCTGGGAATTCCACATCCCCTTCCCACATGGCCAGACCAGCCATCACCCCACCACGCAAATACCCACAAGGTCCTCACTGCCCCAGACAAAAGTGCCAGGCACTGGGGTCAAACGCCTGCCATCACCCTGTCACCACCACCACCCTGATGCTCCTCTCTTGCAACTCCGCTGTGGGCACTTAGTCCTACACTTGCAGGGTTCATTAAGCAGCAGCAAAAGCCAAAAAATGGAGGCAAAGGAAAGCAGAACCCAGAGGCTGCAGTGCTCCAACGCACCACCAGGTGTCAGGGGACCTGGAGCAGCCTCAGCCAGGCTCAGCTGGGTCCGGGCAGGAGGGGTTGAGAGAGGGACCCGGCCCTGCCAGGACAGAGGATGCAGACAGCCAGTCCCAGGGAACACAGACGCCCTCTTACCCTCTCTCCAGGGTCACCCACTTGGCCGGTGGGACCCGTAGTTCCTGGAGGTCCTGGAAGACCCTGGAATTAAGAAAATCAAGACAGGATTACAGAGGTGGACAGGTTCAGCTAGGCAGGGGTGGGACAGAGGAGGGCAGGGGACATGCTGGACCCGAGCAGCAAGCCCTTCCCCTCCCCACCAGGGGATTCGGCGGCTCCCCCCAGCACCTCCCTGACACTCACAGCGGGTCCTTCCGGGCCGGGCGGCCCCTCGATGAGCATCCCCTGCAGAGAGAGAGAGAGAGGGAGCTCTGAGACCCAGGACCAGGCCCTGTGCCCAGACCACAGGAAAAGAGGAAAAAGGAATCGCAGCCGCTGAGGGAAACCGATGTTCCGGACTCTCTCTAAGGGCGCGTGGCCCCCAGAAGCCTGGCTTGCTTCTGAACACAGAAAGCACTCCCCCGCCCAGCCCCCAGGCTCCTCATGGCTGCAAAGACACCGGCTGTGTTTGCACAGATGTGTGCAAGGGAGAGCTGTGCGTGCGAAGCACCGGTCCAGGGCCCTAATCCCGGCTCCCTGCTTCCTGCCTGGCCGAGCAGCTGACAGCCTCAGGCACCGAGCAGGGATTAAGTGAGACAACACCAACCACAGCACAGCCCGGGCCACAGCTGCCTTCCCGGACACACACACACGGTGCTCTGGGGAACCCAGCCAGGCCAGCCGGGACCGCACGGGAGGCCAAGCCTAGACCATTCCAGGTCAGCATGGAAAGCAAGTGGAACAGTGGGGGTGGGTGGGTGAGCCCCGTGGAGGGAGAGCTGCGCCCCTGCAGCCCTGGCCCGCACCCCGCCCACCCTGCCACCGATCCCCAAGTCTGTCAGGGAGGAGCCATGGGGGAGGCCCATGCTAGCTGCTGATGGGGTACTGGGCGTGGGCGATTGGACTTTAGGTCCCCTTGCATGAACACACACGGCAAAGAGAAAAAGGCGTGTGAGGTGGAACTGGATTGCTTGACCATGATAACCACTTCACGGTGTCTGAGTACATCAAGGTAAGAACATCAAAATAGCACGTCATCTTGTCACCTTAGAGATGCGCAGTTTAAAAACACCAAGGAAATAAAGACCTCAGACTTTGCTGAACTCAAAGCAACTCTTACTGGAGGTAAACACCCTATATACAAATTAAACACAACGAACAGCAAAGGTGGAGCAGAGTCTGGGGCCCCTCGGGGGAAGCAGCCCCTGCTGCGGACTTCCTGTTCCCCCGTCAAGCAGACCTCTTTCTGCAAAGTGGATCCCCTTCCTCTTAGGGAGCCTCCAGTCTTGCTAACAAGTCAGAGGGGACTGGGGAGGAGACTGAGACAGCAGCCCTGTCCCTGTCCACAGCTCTGGGGGCAGAATTTGCAGCGGATGGCATCTCCCGGGAGATCACGGGACAGGGGACATCGCCACCCTGGCTGGGGCAGGCTCCCAGGGCCATCTGCCATGTGCAGCTAGGGCTGAGGACATCTGGCGACACCCCGGCGGAGACTCCAGCTGGTTACGTGATCTCCCGGGTGCTCCAAAGGGGCTGGGAGCTGGGAGGAGGCCAATGCCAGGCAGAGGAGGGGCCCCTCCCTAGCTGTCTCCACATGGCCCCTGACCCAGTGAGGACAAGACGCACTCTCCAGAGCGCTTGTGTCGGCCCGGGCTGGCCTCCGCTTCCTGTGTGCTGTGCCCAGGCGCACCCTGCCCTTTCCACACCCTCCTCACTCTCGGAGCCGGGACCCCACACCCACATTCAGTCAGCTCTCATAAGCTTTTCCCAAAGTATCGGCCCAGCGCCCCCTCCAACCACCCCAGAACGAGGGGACCAAACCCAGGACCCCACAGAGCCTCAGCGCCTGTTCTTTCCTAGGATCCTGCTTTCTTCCCCAGGCAAGACCCACTTTCCCTGAAGCCAGGACATCTTGAAAGGAGCCCTGCACCAGCCTCTAGTGCACCGCCATGTGGTGGGCAGTGGTAGAAAGGGCCAGCACCCAAGGGAGATAAGCAAGGCTGGACCAGAGGCCACCTCTGCTGTGGACATCTCTAGGTGGGCCTGGATACATGCCCGCCACTGTGTTCCTGGGGACAAGTCCACCCCGCCCAGGGTTGCTCTTCCTCCCGTTGTGGATTTGGGGCTGAGGGGTCGCCATGAGGCTACACAAGGAACCGCCGGAAGTGGCCTTAGCCTCGCACCTCCACACCCCTGTCCCACATGCGCTGGCTCTCAGGCTACAGAAAGCTCCAGCAAGGGGGCCCTGCTCAGGTAAGAGCGTGCAGATTCAGCACTCATAGCCCATGGGGACAGGTCCCACCCCCTGGCAGGGGCTTCCCAAATCCTGTCCCAGAATTCCACACAGCAGAATAGGTCAGGCCTGCCCCGGCCACAGGCCTCACACAGCTCACAGGGAGACGAGGGCTCACCATCCACTCAGGTTCCTAAGAACTTTCCCCTCCCTCAGAAAGGCGAGGCTATTGCCATTGCTTCTCCGTCCCCAGGGCCCCCAGGAACCGGTCCTGCCAGGAGAAGTGACCCAGCTGGCCCACAGGCACTTGGCTGGCACAGCAGGTGGACCCTGGGGCTCCCAACCGGCCCATGGCACCAGTGAGAAGGGCGGCCCAGCCCAGAGCAGGCAGCTGTCTCAGGAAGCGGCCCTGCTCCGGACTCGCAGACGCTCCTGTGAGCTTCCCTGTGACCTGTGACCTTTCCTCCCGTCCTGCTGCCTGACAGAGTGGCGTCTATCGGTCTTGATCAAAGCAGCTCAACCAGGCCCCACGCACTCTGAGGCTCCCCTCTCAAGCCTGGGTGATAAGGAGGTCAGGGGTCCACAAGGCCACACATCCGGCCACACCCGCCATGACCCGCCGCACGTCCCCAGCAGCAAACATGACAAGAACCCAGGCAGAGGCGGGACAGGGACGCGTCCTTACTGGCTCGATGATGGCTGGCTCTCCCTTCTGACCTTTCTCACCCCGGGGTCCTCCGATCTGAGGTGGAGAAAAGCAGAGAGTCCAGGTTATGCCAAGTCGCCTATCCCAGCACATCGGGGTGCTCCTCCCTGTGGGACACCGCCCCCCAGGCCTTGAAGAACCAAGCTGGAGGTGACACCGAGGCCAGACTGGGGTCAGAGGGCGCATGAGCCTCAGGGACGTCAGGTCCGTCCGTGCACGAGTGGCTCAGGTCACTTCCCAGCTTCGAAAAGAGCTTTAAAGACTGTGGCCACAGAGACACTGGCGCCTCTTCCAGGCTCAAGGGCTGCCCACCCTGCCCAGATCGGAGCCTCTGCCTCTCACCCCTTCATAGATGGTGTCCTGGTTCGCGGGCATGCCTGGCCCAATCTCCGACGGGGAGCCGTTGGGGTCGGAGCCGGGGTCGAAGTAAGGGTCATAGTAGTTCTCGTCCAGGTTCTTGATGGTTTCCTCGGCGAACTCGCCCTCCGGGTCATCCTCCCCCTCCCCTGGGGACAGAGCTGGCTGCAGAGACACAGAGGGAGTGGCAGGGTCACCCAGGCAGAGGCACCTCTCCGCCACTGCGGGCACCAGACACCCTTCCCAAACCTGAAAGCCGGCGGCCTCCCACCCACAAGGCAGCCGGAGCCTCAGCCAGCCTGCAGGGAAGGGTCCCATGGCCACCGGAAGCCCCTCTAGGCCTCCCCCATTGCTCACAGGGACCCCCGCTGCAGTGTGGGACCAAGAGAGTGGGCCCAGACGAGGCCCTCGCAGCTGTGCCCCCTGCACCAGGTGGGCTTGGCCTGGGGCCAGAGTCTGGGGGCCGGGGTCCTGAACCCTGGGACTGCACGTCCTCTCGGGCAGCAAGGAGTGGGCACCCACACAGCGTTGTGATGAGGGTTTGCTCCCAGCCACCTGCCGGGTGAGGCTCCTCCCTTAGCCAGAAACCACAGTGCCCCTGAGAGGCGGCATCACCAGTGCCACACAGCAAGGGGAGCCCCGAGCTCCAAAGAGGTGCACAGCTTTCCAAGGTCACAGGCAGGGATTTCAGCCAGTCTGAAGGCCTAACTGGCATTGCCCAGCCTGCTGCTTATCTGCCCTCGCAGGACCCACACCCTAGCACAGGTGGGGACCCTGTCAGCAGCCACCTCCTCGCCTGTCCCCACCTGATCCCAAGGCCTCCAGGGCCAGGTCATTCTGCCCACTTGCAGATGACAAATCTGCCACACTGAGAGCCGCTCCCCAAGTGAGAGTTCCTGAAGCATGCTCAGCCGTGCACCTCCAGGGGCCCTGCCAGGGCCCAAGAGCTGGGGTGCAGCAGCCACCCAAGGACTCCTCAGGTGAGCGGCAGGGCCAGGAGGAGAGCTCAGGGTCCTGACCCCCCGCCACGGCCTTGTCCCCTAGACTAAGCCAAATGGAGAGGAAGGAAATTACGTTGGAACCGTTGGAGGCGCTGGAGGCGGCCGTGGTGCTGGTGGGGACTCCGGTGCCCACGTTGGGGTCAGTGGGCTGATCGGGGTTGTGCGGGCCCTCGCCATAGCTGAGGTCCTCGTACGGGGAAGGCGTGTAGTAGTCGTCGATGGGCACGTACTCGTAGTCCCCGATGCCCGGGTCCTCCTCCCCGCCGGCCCCCTCGCTGGTCTCGGGCACCACACCGGGCATGGCAGAGGCGGCCGTGGGGGACGGGGTCAGCTCCTAGAAGCCAAGGGCAAGAGAGGCAATCAGGGTGCCCAGTCCCGGGACGTGCGGGGGCCCCCAGGTCCGCAGGGAGGAAGGCAGCCTGGGGCACAGCACAGACAGAACCCTCAGGTCACCCCTGGGAGATGGCAAGCTGGTCACGCGAGTCACAACGCAGCAGAACATCCGGACCGGGAGAGCAACACGGGAGCGGGTCGTGCCACCCCAGACTCCCACACTCATCCAACATGTCGACACACGTGGCTTCACGGGGACGTCAGCACAGGCACACACGCACGCACCCTGCGCCTGCCCTGATGACACAGGCCTCACGGGTTCTCACTGCGACCCACACACCCTCCGCACCTCCCAGGTGAAGAGGGGGCCACGCAGAGGGGGCCCCACTGTGACCAGACGAGGAGACCCAAGCTCGCCGTGGCGTCGGCCCAAGGCCACGCCGTAGGTGGGTGCAGAGGGGCCGGGTGCCCAGCCACACCCGTCTCCAGATGTCCCTGCCCACCGCCACCATCTCAGCCTCGTGCTGGGCACGGCCTCCTCAGCCCTCCTCTCCCTGCCCCGCTCCCAGCCAGTCCCAGCCCCAGCTCCGCCCAGACCTCGGGGATCTCTGTGGTTTCTCTCGCAGCTTCCACTGGCTTACTGGTCGGGGCGGGCTCCTTCCCCAGGTCCTCCGAGTCCTCGTAGTAAGGGTACTCGTAGTAATAAGTCTCACCGTCGCCCTCTCCATCTGGGTACTGAAAGCCAGCACGGCCCATGAGGCCAGGGGAGACACATGGGGACCCCAGCCCACGGAGCCTGCGCCTCTCAGCTTTGGCGACAGGCAGTGGATGCCAGAGGCCTGTCCCACCCGCCTGAGCCTGCCCCAGGGGTCCTGGGTCTCGGTTCTTCCCTCTGCAGTGCTGCCCCGGGAAGCTGGGCTGGGCAGGAACCTCAGGCCCTGGGGCAGAAGTCAGAGAAAGCCAGACCCTAAAAGGTGGTCGCCTCTGACCCTTTAGAGCCCAGGCAGGACAACCAGTCCCAGCCACAGCCATGACCCAGCAGGCCCCCAACCTTCCACCCAAGCCCCAAAGGCCCCCTCTCAGCACGGAAGTGCGTGCTCCTCTGAACTGGGCCTGGCCTGGCCAGCAGGGAGCTCCATCCAGCCCTGCCCTTGGGACTCCTGGGGCACAGCCAGGGCCACGGGACACCGCTTGGTGAAGGCCACTTGCTCGTTCTAAGTGGTGACAAGTAAAGGGGGCCAGCAGGGCAGGCTGCAGTACGACTTAAAGAGCCGGGAGCCAGCTGGGTGGGGTGGGCTCACTCGGGGCCCAGAGAGAAGGGTAGATCAAGCACACACGGTGCTGCCGGGGCCCAGAGACAGCGCGGGAGGAGGGGGGGTGACCAGGGTCACAACAAGAGGACGCTTGGGGAGAGCCTATCCTTCCGTCGCCGCCCCTCTGGGAATCAGAGGACAGGTCATCTACCGTGCACAGTCCTGAGTGGCACCCATCTGTAAGCCTCGGGCATGTGGCCAGCAGCAGAGGCTGCTCCCAACACCCGGCTAAGGCCACAGCCACGGGCAGGCAGGATATCCAGCGGCAGGATTCGTCTAAGGACTTGCTCGGAAACTTAAAGGACAGAGTCACTCCCTAGGTGACCCCCTCATTCTAGGGAGCGCTGACTGGGAAAGCGAGGTAGACATCGCCATTTCTCCTCCACAGCACCCTTCCGCTGACCCCCGCCCCGAGGGGTCTGGCCGTGCTCCCCACCCCAAACCCCTCCAGAGCTGACTCACGTATTCATCCGGGTTGGGGTCCTGAGACTGCGGAGTGTCGGGGACCGCGGAGTCACAGTCAGGACTGTAGTGCTCGCAGTAATCGTAAGCTGCCCGGTGGTCTGAGACGAAGAGCAACTGCTGGATGTCACCCTGGAAAGGGACAAAAGCTTGTGAGGAAACAGCACCAGGTGCTCACACGGGGCCTGAGAGGCCCAGCCTTGGGGCGGAGAGCAGCTCAGGCCACACCTCAAGAGAAGCACATCTTCACGACCACGGTTCCTCCCATCCTTCCATCCCCTCACCCACCCACTCATCCACCATCCAGCCCTTGCCGAACACCTGCCAGGTGCTCACAGCCGCTGTGGTTAGGGAACATGGCCTACAAACACATCCACCTTACACTGTCAGGACTCGGAGGTGCAGCACTCACCTCCGTCCCCACGGCCCCCAATCAGGACATCATTTCAAAAGAGCCAGCGCTAGGTCTTTGAATATGTTTGAGAGAATTACCACATGACCCAGAAATACCAATCCTGGGCACTAAACAGGTCCACAAACCATTCACCCAAATCAGTTCACTCCCTAAAAACGAACGGAGGGACTCACACACACGTGCAAACACATTTACGGCTGTATTATCCACAAAGGCCCAGGGTAGAAGCAACCCCAGTACCCCCACTGATGAACGGCCACACAGAATATGGTGCCTGTCACCCAACGCCACACGGGTGAGCTCCCCTCTGGCCGGCCTGAGGCCCTTGCTCACGGAGCTGGCGTCAGTCAGCAGCCCCTACCTCTTCCCCACTTCTCCTGCGTGGAGACGGACCTCATCTACAGAGACCGAGGTGACAGGCACTGGCTGCCGCCAGGCAACATCCCAAACAAACCCCAGGCAGGGTCTCCTGGCCCCCAGCCAGGCGGATATGCGCTGATGATGTAGCCGTGCTTTGACGGCAGTGTCTGTGCGTCTGACTCCGAAAGTGCTCCCCGGAGACCTGGCTCTGGGCGAAGACTCCACCTGCAGCCTCCCTTGTGCCCGCTCTGACTCCATTTACAGCTGAGAAAACTGAGGCCTTCGGGTCCCAAGCAGGGGTGGCAGGGCTGGCTCAGGACACCCTGTAAGGCCCTGGGATGTGTGGAATCCACAGGGTGCTAAAAACGGTGCCACGGGCAAAGGTGACCAGGTGGGGCCAGTGCCGCATTCTCTGGGCCTGGAGCCATCCTGCCGCCCGGCAGCACTGCGATGCGCAGATTGCGTTACTGCGCCGGCCCTGAGTTGCTGTGAAACTCTCACCTGGCTGCCATCTGGAGGGTGACATTTTCCACGCGGTTCAGTCCAAGATTTCGCCCTCCCCAGGCAGGGGCACCGGCTGCCGAGCCCCCTTCTGGGCTGTGTGCCCGGCACCCCCACTGCTCCTCTCAGGGAAAAGGTCACCCCGCCCTCCGCCCCGCTGGCTCGGGCGGGCTGGGGACTCACCGCAGACCTCAATGTGGGGGTCTGGCCACGGTCGGACAGCAGGCGCTTCCCAGCCCACAGCTGGAGCGGGCACTGCAGGGGGTGAGGGACCCTGGGCCACAGGGCCACCGGGGGCCTGCTGCTCACCAGCTGTGCCACGCTGGCTGTGCGGTCTGGGGTTAGTCTGCTCCCCGCTCTGAAAGAGGAGCCCCAGCGGAGTAACAGGCGAACCCTAGTCAGAAGCAGCAGAAAAGCGTTTGGGCCCGATGGGGCGAGGGCTCAGGGAAGCCCTGAGGGACAGCAGGGCTGGGAACAGCAGAGCTCCAGGCAGGCCCAGGAGTGGGGACCTCAGAGAGACGCGTGAGTGGCAGGGAGGAGACCATGGCTTCCAAAAGAAAGACAAAGAGCGAACGCACGTGCAAGGACCCGAGGGTGGGGGTGGCTCAGAGGGACCACAGAGGAAACAGCTCTCGGAACCCAAGAAGGGGAGGAAGAGGCAGGCACATTTCCATGATCACAGGAGTGAGCCGTGTCCTACCAGAGGAGACGTGGATAAGGCGGCCCAGCGGGGAGAGGAGCTTTGGCCAGTGTGGAGGGCTGAGGCAAACTGGAGCCCAGCCTGGGCAGCACAGCAAGAGCCTGTCTCTAAGTAAAAAATCAAAGGGCTGGGGATGTAGCTCAGTGGTAGCGCAACCTTGGTTTCAATCCCCAGTCCTGAAAAGGGAAGGGA